TGGCCCGGCATGGCCAGGTGGTTAGGGCGCTCGATTCGTAATCTGGGTCCTGGGTCCGAATCCCCGTCCCACCAAACATGCTCGCCCTTTCAGCTGTGGGGACGTTATAATGTGACGGCCAGTCCCGCTATTCGTTGGTAAAAGAGTAGCCCAAGAGTTGGCGGTGGGGGGTGATGACTAGCCGCCTTCCCTCTAGTCTTACACTGCTAAATTAGGGACGGCTAACGCAGATAGCCCTCGTGTAGCTTTGTTCGAAATTCAAAACAAACAAGCCTTCTTAAAGTGATAGTCACAAACATGTGCTCATTCCTTCAGATATGGTCGCCTTTCTGTTCCAACACAAACACCCAGCTGTCACTATGTAAGACATTATATCGACCAGATGTCTTAAAACAGTACAAGTTCGGAAATACGGAGAGAGTCGTATCCTCCTCATCCTCTTTGCTTCAAGGAAAGCCTTTCAATTTCCTTTTTTTTAACTACTCTACAGGTTTAGTGATTGAAAGTTTTAAGATCATGGAATACCTTAAAATTACACTATACGTGTACTTTCTCTATCACTTCTTTACTCGAATGTCTCTTATCCTCTGTTGATATTTAGTTACGTTCATACCCCCCAAGGGGCACAGCGGCATGTCTGCGGACTTACAACGCTCGAAACCGAGTTTCAATACCCGTAGTGAAGAGAACACAGATAGTTCATTGTGCAGCTTTATACTTAAACTACAAACAAACAAACAGTTATGTTGACAAATGAGATGATGAGATTCTCGCCCTATTATTCTCCTTGTTATATATAACAAAATGTCCTTTAACCAGTTAAATAAATAAATACTCGAAAGTTTGATAAAACGCTGCATTTTGAAAAATAATCAAATAATTTTGTATCTTTTATATATTAACAAGCATAGAATTATTAATTAATATTTTAAATTGTTCAGATTTCTCTAAAACGCCTTCTTTCTTCGTGTTTAAGTAACCCAGACAACAATACAACTACTGCATGGTTCTATATGAATAAATGTGGTCAACTTTTCGATCAAATTTAAATGACACTGACTTAACGTACATGATCAACTAGTATTTATATCAGCATACAACGGGTATTTCCAAGAAGCGAGTATTGACCAACAATAACTCGGATGTCTGCAAACTGAAGCTTTGCTGTCAAAATGTTACTTTTAGAAGGTTACGTTTTGTTAATAACCTAGTTTTTTTTTTTCAGGTTGCTATGACAACCACCTTGAACACGAAATTCAAACAAGTTGTATGTTCGATGTTTGTATGGTTTAATTTGTTTGTTTGTTTTGAATTTCGCGCAAAGCTACAC